GCCTGACTATAGCATGTTGTGTAGCTTGGAACGCCTGGTTATGCAGTGCACTTGCATTGATCTGGTTTATGTTGCACTATTTGTATTACACTCTATTGCACACAGCATTTCTGCCATGCCTGGCATTGCGGTGACATGCATCACTTTACAGAGCATTGCATTGCAAAACTAAGCTTTGCATTGCTGCATTTTGAATTACGCGGCATGCCAGTGCGTTGATATGGCATTGTGAATGGCATTGCATGTCCGCACTATGTAATTTGCATGGGATTGCCTGCAATGCGCTGCAGCGCCATCGCATTCCCTTACATTCCGGGGCCATACTCGTGTGTTCCATGGTGGCAATTTCAAGTAGATATTACCCGCGCCGTGTGTTGCAATGCGCTACGTTGTGTAACATGTCATTTGGACTTCCTTGACAACACTGCTTTGCATTGCATGACCCTGTGTCGATTTACATTACGTTCCGCACTGCACCAACTGTCATTGCTGTGAACTGGGTCCCAGTGCAGTGCTGGCATGGTGACTGGGGATTTGTATAGATAACTCGCGTTGCATTGAATTGCGGCAAACGTCTGTTCAATGCATCGCACTGCATTGCGTGGCATTGCCCTGCGCAGAGCATGGCATACGGTACGGTACGGCGTAGAAAAGCCCCACGATGCCTTCAACTTGCCCGTGGTTTCTCTACTCTGCTTGTGTTATACCCAAGCGTTACCCTTCAGAAGACGGGGCACCGAAAAGCAGGGACGCGCTGTGCTCCTGGATCCGATAAGTTCAACTGGTCACATTGCCGTGCAGCACCGGCGGCCTGCGCCTTCTTGGCGAAGGTGCACTCGCCCTGGCGGACGACGATAGCGCACTCCTTGCAGAAGTGGTGCTTCGTGCAGCCGTGCGGGTCAGACTGGCTGAAGACGACAGGACCAGCGCTGAGCTTGTCCTTATCCTGGCGTGCAAGATGGCGCGCACGGTTACCGGGAGGGAGAGGGATCTGACCGATGGGCACCCCGTTGAGTCCTGGGCAACTCTGTCATGCATCTGGACTCACGCTGGCGCGCACTGGACCGGGTCGGAGCGCGCGCTAGATCACCGCTCGGGAGCGGCCATTTTGACGCGGGCCCCCGCCTGTACTTCACGAGGTAGACCCAGGCCGGGTCCCGAAGACTGGGTGTCGTGGACATGCCGATAAGCTGCTACGGCCCCCAGGCCTCCGCCGTCATGGACAGATCGAGACGGGGGCCGCCGTCGAGCATTCCAGCCCTCGCTCCCTCTCGACGACGACTTCCGCAAATTCCTCTCCTCCTCCTCGGGCCCCCCTCCCCCCATTCACCTAGCCCCTCGTTCCTATCCTCCCCACTCGTTCTTCTGCGTCTAGCCGTGGACGCCTCCAACACTCTCCTCCTCCGCCTCCTCCTCCTCCCCCCCCACTCAAACTTCCCAATCCCTCCTCCCCTGCCGGGATGGCCAATCCTTCCTCTGCCGGAGGAAGGCAAGAGGGACCGATCAGCCCGGAGACCAGCGCATCTCACTGACGGATGTTCAACTGTCTCTGTTGCCCTGCCTCGGCTGACAAAACTCCCGTGGCGCACTCTGCGCTTCCCTGATCAGCATACGGCAGGTCCGTGTCGTGCCGACTTCGGCGTTGGTTTTTGACACCGCGGGGATCGTTCAACCTTGAACGATCGGCCGTTTTCGAAACCTCCAATTGTTCCACATCGAACGATTCTGGGTCGCCCGCGGCGTTCAACCTTGAACGCCCGCGCTGGGGTCGCGACGAGTCGACACGACGCAGACCTACCGTATCGAGGTGATGGGGCCAGCAAGACGGCTCCTGCTCCGCACTCCGCTCCTGGGCTGTCGGCCGATCGGCAGACGTCGCCCTCGAGCCGCAGCTCCCCCTGCACGCCCCCCTGCGGGATCTGGAGGGCCCCAGGAAAGGGCGCCGCGCTCCGATGCCGCCCAGGAGGAGGAGGAGGAGGAGGAGGAAGAGGAGGAGGAGGAGGAGGAGGAGGAGGAGGAGGAGGAGGAGGAGCATATTCTCCAGGACCATATTCTCATCCTGCGTCGTTTCTGGACAGTCGCGGGGACACAGAGAGGGCCCCTGGAGGTCGAGCATAGAGGGATACAGAAGACGCGGATGACTTTGTGAGGGGGCTCAGGGATACACAAAGAAATTGACACAAATAAGAGGATTCACCATACTTTCTCATATTTTCTGGGTTTTTGTCTTCCCCCCCACTTGCCATATTTTCCCATATTTTCCTGGGAATCGACGATTCGTTGTCTGTGTGTTTTGTTCCCTAAAAGAAAGGCTAGGATTAAGTCGGGTGTGCCCCCCTACAGGGGGATTTTGGACGAACAATGAAAACTACTCGAACAATACTCCAAAATGGTCAAAATATACTCAAACAATTCACCACACGATTTTTTGGACTCCTTTTAAAGATCCCCCCTGTAGAGGGACAGGCCCGACTTGAGGCTAGGAGGAGGGTGGGGGGGCCGGAGAGCTGCTGCCCTGGGTCGCCGGAGCGAGAGTGCGGGACGGGAAAATGACCACAGCCACTGGTTCTTGTCTGCGCCGCCTTCCAGCCGGCCGAAAAAGGAGCAGTGGTTGTGGTCATCTCCCTGGTGCCAAGCTTCACGAAAATGACCACAACCGCTGCTTTGTTTCAGTGGGCTGGAAGGCGGCAGCAAAAGAAAAGCAGTGGTTGTGGTCGTTTCCACGCCCCGTAGAGAGCGTGCGCGCGCGGAGGAGGGCCGGGCACGCGTCGGGGGCCGCTGCCGCGGCCGCGGGGCTCCTCCGGGCTCGACCACTCGGCGAAGACGGCGGGGAAGCTCTTCACGTGGGCTCCCGCTGCCGTGTCCAGGCGGAGGACCCCCGTCGCCGCGCGGGCGCACCTCTGCGCGCCGGCGCGGCCGACCAGGGTGAAGGGGCCCCAGGACACACAAATAAATACACACAAATAAAAATATTCCCCATATTTTCCCATATTTTTGGGTTTCTGTCTCCCCCCCCCACTTCCCATATTTTCCCATATTTTCTGGGGAATCGAGGATTAATTGTGTCTGTGTGTTTTTTCCCCTCCTGAAAGATGAGTTGGGCGTGGCTTAGTGGGGGGGTCATAGATGGGGGGGTCAGAAACGGCCCCCTTTTGCTGCCCCCCTTTCGGGCCCCTCCGGGGCCCCAGGGGGCTCGTTTGGGTACCGTTTGGGCACCTCTTCGGACCACCCTCGCCCCCCCCCCATTTATGATCCCCCCATCACGTGACGCCCAAAGACGCAGGCCTGGAACAAGCCCGGCTCAGAGGCCATTTGGGCCAGACTGGGCCAGGTACGCCCGGGATTGGCCGGACTAAGAAGGACTCAGCGGCTCTGCGCAGGATGCTGCCGGATTAGGCTGGTCTTCAACAGCGGATATACCAGCGACGATGCTGAATCGAATCTCCCAGGAATGGCAACCTACGAGAGGCGGGTGGACAGGGAGGAGGGAGGGAGCCCTGTTAGGAAATGCATATATGAAGTGCACGCCCGATGCACCCTGACTGGCGGAGAATGGGGCAATTCACCAGCCATCGGAGGGTGGGGGGTATGCCATTTGTTCATCACAAGCTGACGTTGCGGACGGGTTCGAGGAGGAGGAGGGCGACGAGGACAACGACGACGAGAAACATGATGAGGACGGAGATGGGTAGACGAAACGGAGAAGGACGACGACGTCGCCGTGAACGAGGAGTTGGCGGACCCTGAGATCCGACGTTGCAAACAAATAACAGCATCGTTAAGAAATCACAGACGATGCCCTGGGTCCCATCTTCCTGCGGCATTTCTTCAGCAGGATCGATCACCTGACGGTCCTGGGGCCCGAAATCTGGCGAAAACGCCTGGCGTAACAACATTGCAGGCGCGGAGGACAAGGAGGGCAGGGATCAGGAGGACTCAGAATCACAAAAACAAGGAAACGCCACGAGGACATGGGAACGCTTTTGAAATAGAGGGGAATCAGCGAAATCAGAGAAATGCTGAACAACTGTTACGAAACTGGGAATTGATTCACATATATTGGTGGCTCCCCTAGAGCATAGTTTAACCCCTTACCACTGGCGTGGTCCAGGCTCCACTGGCCGACTTCCCCCCTAGGTGGGGATATAGGCTGCTCCCTTCGGGTCCCTAGGGGTCTCTGGGTTGGTGGGATGGTGGGACTGAGACACCATGGCTCGGTTGGGAGGGGGATAGGTTTAGGTCGGGCATATCCTCATACAGGCGGATTTCGGACAAAGAAGGATGACCAAAACATGCAAGGTAAACACATTAAAATAGCATGACAAATGGTGCCCAAACGATTGTTTTCAACAATTCTCGAAATATATCCCTCTCGTCGAAGGACATGCCCGACTTCAGGATAGGTTGAACGATACTGACCCCGGGCCCATCTAGGGGAGGGCCCAGCCAACCAGCCGTCGTAGAGGACCAAGAAACTGAGAAACAGACCCTGCCAGAAGTCCGCGCGGGTTTATTGGATCCGCGCTGGACCCCCCGAGGGCTCGACCAAGCAGTGCTTTTCATTTTCGCTTGTTTTCGTTCTCCCTCGCTTTCTCGCTTTCTCTTCGTTCTGCCCTCGCTGCAGAACGAAGTCGAAACGAAAACGGTCCGCGCAGACGCCCAAACCCCGTTTAGGTCGAGCCCTGGACCCCCCGTCATAAGCATAAACTCTTGGCGCTCCGCGCGGATTTCTTGGATCCGCGCCGGACACCCCTCGGAGCGCGCGCCGGGGGCGGCGCCGGTGGCGCCGCCCAGTGGGTCCCAGCGCAGTTCCCGGAAATCCGCGCGGAGCGCCAAAAAAGTTTATGCTTATGGCGTTTTTCCTCCTTCGAGGGGTACCCCCTCCCTGGCGCGCGGAGCGCTCACTACACCGACCTTGCAGACGTGCTGCAGCGGAGTTTTGCGGGGATATCTGCCACCGCAAAACCCCAAAACGGCGAGCGAACAACGACGTGAATGTCATGTGGACTTTTTTCCCAACCATCCTGTGGTGTTGGGTCCTCGTTTTGAACAGACAGCGCCCGCGTCCTCCCGCTGCCCCCCGTCCCTCTCCCCTTCATCAGCATCACCGTCACCATCATCATCGTCATCATCATCACCATCATCATCAGTTCGGTACACCCCTCACACGGTTCGTTGCCCCATAGGGAGTTCCACCAAAGGCCCCAGTGGCTGCGTTCGCATGCGTCACCGCCACCCAATTAGGCACACCCTTCGCACGGTTCGTGCCCCAATACAGAGAGCTTCACCGAAGGCCCCAGTGGCTGCATCCTCATGCGTCACCGCCACCCATTACGGGACACCCCATACATGGTTCGTGGCCCCATAAGGGCTCCACCGAAGGCCCCAATGATTGCGTCCTCCTGCGTCACCGCCACCCAATTCGGCACACCTTTCACACAGTTCGTGGCCCCATAGAGAGATTCACCGAAGGCCCCAAGGGTTGCGTCCTCATGCGTCACCGCCACCCCTTACGGGACACCCCTCACACGGTTCGTGGCCCCATAGGGAGCTCCACCGAAGGCCCCAAAGGCTGCGTCCGCATGCGTCACCGCCACCCCTTACGGGACACCCCTCACACGGTTCGTGGCCCAATAGGGAGCTCCACCGAAGGCCCCAGTGGCTGCGTCCGCATGCGTCACCGCCACCCAGGACAGCGCTTCGTGGCCCCTATAGGGAGCTCCACCGAAGGCTCCAGCGGCAGGGTCCGCATGCGTCACCGCCACCCAGGACAGCGTCTCGTGGCCCCATAGGGAGCTCCACCAAAGGCTCCAGTGGCAGGGTCCGCATGCGTCACCGCCACCCAGAACAGCGCTTCGTGTCCCCATAGGGAGCTCCACCGAAGGCTCCAGTGGCAGGCTCCGCATGCGTCACCGCCACCCAGGACAGCGCTTCGTGGCCCCATAGGGAGCTTCACCGAAGGCTCCAGTGGCAAGCTCCGCATGCGTCACCGCCACCCAGGGCAGCGCTTCGTGGCCCCATAGGGAGCTCCACCGAAGGCTCCAGTGACAGGCTCCGCATGCGTAACCACCACCCAGGACAGCGTCTCGTGGCCCCATAGGGAGCTCCACCGAAGGCTCCAGTGGCAGGGTCCGCATGCGTCACCGCCACCCAGGACACCATTTCGTGGCCCCATAGGGAGCTCCACCGAAGGCTCCAGTGGCAGGCTCCGCATGCGTCCGCGCCACCGATTTCGGCGCACCCCTCGAACGCTTCGTGGCCCCATAGGGAGCTCCACCGAAAGCGGTACCCACAATGCGGGTTTCGCAGCTGCATATGGTTGGGTGCTTCGTCTGGCTGTTTGTAGTCTTGTCTTCATTCCTGGGCAAAACACTCCATGCGAAATTCTCTCCGAAATTCGGGCCCATCCTATGGGCTTCCGAACGGAAATCCGCTCTGCGATGTTGGCGCCACGCAGAGCGCGCCAATGGCAGCGCAGGAGGGCCCAAGACATCCGCGAGGTCCTCTGAGAGTTCAAGCTCAACTGCCGTGGTTGTCCTCTTGGCCGCCCGAGTTATCCTGGGTAGCTCGGGCCCGGGGCAACTCGGAATCGGATTCCCGAAAGACGGACCCGAGCTAGCCCTGACCCGAGTTGCCCTTGAGGCTTCGGGGCTCTGGACGCCCGAATTATCCGGGGTAACTCGAGCCCGGGTCAACTCGGGTTCGGATTCCCGAAAGACGGACCCGAGTTAGCCCTGACCCGAATTACCCCTGAAGCTTCGGGGCTCAGGATGCCCGAATTATCCGGGGTAGCTCGGGCCCGGGGGCAACTCGGGTTCGGATTCCCTGAAAACGGACCCGACTTAGCCCTGACCCGAGTTGCCCTTGAGGAGTTGGGGCTCTGAACGCCCGAATTATCCGGGTTAGCTCGGGCCCGGGGCAACTCGGGCTCGGATTACCGAAGAAAACAAACCCGAGTTACCCCTGAGGATTCGGGGCTCTCGACGCCCGAATCATCCGGGGTAACTCGGGCCCGGGGTAACTCGGGCTCGGGTTCCCGAAAGGCGGACGTGACCCGAGTTAGCCCTGACCCGAGTTACCCCTGAGGATTCGGGGCTCTGGACGCCCGAATTATCCGGGGTAACTCGGGCCCGGGGTACGTCGGGCTCGGATTCCCGAAAACACGAACCCGAAATGGTCCTGACCCGAGTTACCCCTGAGGACTTCGGGCCCTGGACGCCCGAATCATCCGGCGCTGCTCGGGCTCGGCTTCCCGAAAAAAAAACGAACCCGAGTTGGCCCTGCTCCTCCTCCTCCTCCTCCTCCTCCTCCTCCTCCTCCTCCCCCTCCTCCTCCTCTTTCTCGCGAGTCCCTGCAGAGCTTCTCCCTTCGGCCCCGACACGAGGGGCCCAGGCAGCCGGCCCTCCCCGCGGCGCCTCGGCAAGCCCGCCAGGCAACACGCCAAGCATAGCCGCGGCAGGGCGCCCGCGCGCCCGCCGGCGGCCATCGTGCAGCGCGCGCCTCGGGTCCGCTGGGGGCGCTGCTCGCGGTCGTCGTCGTCGTCGTCGTCGTCGTCGTCGTCGTCGTCGTCGTCGTCGTCGTCGTCGTCGTCGTCGTCGTCGGCCTTGTCGTCGTCGTCGTCGGCCTTGTCGTCGTCGTCGTCGTTGTTGTGGTCGTGGTCGTGGTAGTGGTCGTCGTCGTCGTGGTCGTGGTCGTCGCCGTTGTGGTCGTCGTCGTCGTCGTCGTTGGTGCTGATTGTCCCCGCTGCCTCTCCCCATCCATGACTCATGGGCAAAGATGGGGCGGGATAGGCCCAGCGGGGGATGCATCGACCCCCAGTCGCCCACATATCGCCGATAAGGGCCTGATAACCTCACCCCGCCCGGAAACGGACCGGATTCGCTATCGGGGGCCTGCAGTCGCCAATTTTTCGGCGATGCATCGCCGATTCTAGGCTGATGTCTTCCCCATACTACAACGAGCCAGGCACGTGGGCAACGCACGCTGCGCAGGCCGAGCGCCCGCACGCACGCGCAGGGCAACGCGACACCGACGCATCCGCGGGATCGGCTGCAGTCCCGCGCTGCTCGCCTCCACGCGGACGCCGGGTGGCGGCGCTGTCGGGCACAAACTCAGGAGAAGAAAAAACACTACGAACATAAAAATTTGGCGCTCCGCGCAGATTTCTTGGATCCGCGCTGGGGCCCCCCAGCGGCGCCTCCGGCGCCGCTCCTGCGCGCTCCGCGCTGGGCCGCCTCCCTGGCGCGTGGAGCAGCCAGGGGCGGCGCCGGAGGCGCCGCTGGGGGGCCCCAGCGCGGACCCCCAAAAAACCGCGCGGAGCGCTCAAAGTTGATGTTGATAGCGTTTTTTCCTCCTCGGAGGTCGGGATCTGGCCAGAATCGCACCAGTGATGGGCATGTTTTCCACCACCACCACCATCCTCCTCCCCCCCCCCCCTCCCCCTCCTCCTCATCCCCTCCTCCTCCTCCTCCTCCTCCTCCTCCTCCTCCTCCTCCTCCTCCTCCTCCTCCTCCTCCTCCTCCTCCTCCTCCTCCTCCTCCTCCTCCTCCTTCCCCCCTCCAACTTATGGTGGTGGTGGTGGAAAACAAGCTCATCAACCAGGATGCGTCAGGGTGTCCGGGATCCAGCCGCTAAACATGACACATCCCGGCGCTCTGCGGCCAGAGCAGCGCCCTGGCCCAGGCCGACCGCAGGCCCGAGCGGGCGGCGGCGGGCAGGCCCAGCTGCAGCAGCGGGCAGGCGCCCCGACGCCCCGCCCTGGCCGTTCCCCGCTGCCGGCCAGACAGAAGAGCAGTGGCTCGCGCCTCTGGGGCGGCGAGGAGGCGCAGGCGGCGCCTTCGCCACCCCGCGGCGGGCCCCCCAAATGGAAGGGGCCCCGAGACGCAAACAAATAGATAGACGCAAACCCCAGGATCCCCACATTGGCCCCCCCATGCCCTGGGCCCTCGTCTCCCCCCCGCGTCCCATCTTTTCCCGTGCTCTCCCGGGGAACCGACGATTCAATCTGCAACTCCCGGCTCGCCGTGCCCCCCGCTGCGGGGGGGAGGGGGCGCCCAGCGCCCCACAGAGGCGGGCCCCGGGGCGCGAGAAGGACAGGAGGCCCGCCGGGGCCGCAGTGGGGCGGCGTCGATGCCGCGCGCCGCGGACGGCCAGACGCAGGCCAGCGGCTCACACCCCGGGGGGCCCCGCCGCCCAGGGAGGGCGGGGGCGCGCTCGCACGGATCAGCGATCCGTGAACTCGGCCGCCACATCCGAGGATCGGGGGAGGTGCCCCCCCCCAAGACGCGGCCGGCGCCGCCTTGCTCGGCGGCGGAAGTGCGCGATTTCTCATGGAAGCGGGGCCCGTCGCCAATCCGCGCCCCCTTGATCCATAATTGCGATCGCCTGAATCTCCCGGCTCGCCCCGCACCCCGCCCCGGCCTCCGCGCCAGGAGGCTGGGCGGGGGGGCGTCTGGCGCCTGACAGGAGCGGATCCAGAGCGCAGAAAAGGAGCAGGGCCCGCCGGCCGCAGCGCCGCGGGCAAGGGCGGCGCGCGCCCACTGCTGAGCAGGGACCGACCGTCCCGGCATTCCTATAGGCCTACCACGACATGTTCTTAGAACCCAGAAATTGTCTAAGAACAAGAACAATGCTCTTAGAACGTAAGCCCGATGTGTTAAAACACGACTGTCCCAGCCAGGAATGTTCTAAGAACACTTCGTGCAGACCACAAGAGGTGACTAGAGCTCTTCTTGGTGGGCCTATTGGCGAGCCAGGACGCTTAGCCACTGATCGACCGACAGGAGCGGATCCAGTGCGCAGAAGAGGAGCAGGGGCCCGCCGGCCGCAGCGCCGCGGGCAAGGGCGACGCGCGCCCACTGGCATTCAACGCAAAGATTAGGTCGGGCATGTCCCCCGACAGGCGGATCTTGAATAACAATTAACCAAAATAGTTAAGGAATCGTCCCCAGGCAGTTGTGTTAACTGTTTTTTATTTTCCTCCTGTAGAGGCCCGACCAAACACTGGCATTCAACGCGAAGAGGACCACTCCATCAAAGCCCGCGCCTGCAGGGGCCGGAGGCGCGCCGGGCTTCCAGCTCCCAGCGAACCGAGCAAGCAGCGCGACGGCGTGCCAGGACAGAGCCGCCCAGGCCACCCTCAGGGGGGCCACGTGCGAGCCCTGCCCCCAGCCTCCCCCTTAGCAATCGTGGGGGGTACAGGGGTACACCCTGCGAAATGCTTAAGAAATCATGGGTTAAGAAATTCATAGTCTCAGAACTTGAAGAAAACCCAGAACTTCTATCATAATCTTGGGATTTACATTGAAAAGTTAAGAATAATCGAGACCCTGGACGAAAACTTGGGTTTTCTTAAGCATCGCCTAGGGTGTAGGGTTCGCGTGTGGCCCCCTGACCCCTATCACGCGGCTGCGGGTGGAAGCGGTGACCCTGGCAAGCACACGGCGGGCGCGCAAGCGCGGCGCGCGGCGCTCGGGCGACGGGTCCGAGGGCGAAAGGGGGGCCGCAAGGCGAGGCGGAGAGGCGGCGATCGTGCGAGAGGCGGAAGGAGGGGGCACTTCCGCCCGCGACGCCCTGGCCGAGGCGCGGGCGCGAGGAAAGCCGCCGCGAGAGGCGAGGCGACCCATCATCGCCCCAAGGAAACACGAGGCTGTCGACTACAGCTCGGCGATGGGAGACAGATCGAACAACAAACGGGCGGCCAAACGCCGCTATCTCGCCGCGGCCGCCTCGGCGACGGCGGCGCTTCCTGCCGGGCGCCGGGGGGCCCTTCGCCCAACCTGCGGCTCCCCCCCGCCTCGCCGGCGCCTCCGCCGGCCTCTTCGGCGCCGTCCTTGGGCCCGCCCGCTTCGGATCCCCGCCCGCGCTGCCCACCACGCTTCGCCTGCTTGAGCCGCTGACCCACGGTCGTGGGCGTCGCTCGCGGCCAGGGTTAGGCCGGGCACGTCCCCCTACGGGCGGATCTTGGACAAAAATAAGCGATACCCCAGAGATGCGCAAACATGCACCACAATAGCAAAGAAAACATCCCCTGCTTATGCCTTGGCCAGTTTTGAACTAATCAACGGCATAGCCTGCGTCGCTCCGCGGGTACAGAGCGTCGCACGCAGGAGCAGACTCCCCCGCAGGGGCCTCCGCTGCCCCGCCAGGACATGTGCACCGCCGAGGCCCCCCTGCCGCGCGGGCGCCACCCCGCAGCTGCTCACGCGGCGCCGCGGCGAGAGCGCGGGTGGACCTCTGCAGCTGGGCCTGCGGCGTCCGCCACCCCGGGCCTGGGCCAGGAGCCCGGCCGCCACGCGCCGGTCTCCTCCCCGCTCTCCGACCGCGCCCCTCGCCCGGCGCGGGGCGGGCCCCGGCCCGTCGCGGCGGCCGCGGCGAGTGCAGCGAAACCGCTCGGCGCCTTTACAAGCAGACGCGGCCCCGGGGCTGCCCGGGAGGGCGGGCCCGCGACGGCCGCGCACCCGCCCCAGACATCCGGCCGCTCCCATGCTTGCCCTGCGTGGGCGGACATGCTGCAGAGGGCCGGGCCACTGCCCCGGGACCGGAACTTCGCCCCGAGTTCTTTTCTGACGCCCCCGAGGCCCGGCGAGGGCCCCCAGAGGCCGAAGCCTGCCCGCATCCCGCCGCTCCGTATCTTTTTTTTGTTGGGAGCGTCGCATCTCGGGGGTCGAGGGCTTGGCCGAGGGCGCGCCCCGGCCGCCCGGGGGGAGGGCGCGCCCTGCGCCTGGCCTGCCCATCCGACGGCGCGTGGGCCCAGGGCGCGGCTCGCCATGGCCAGCCGCGCCGTCCCCGGACGGCCTTGCTCGACGTCCCTTCTGGACTCCCCAAGTCAGAAACCTCGACGAGCACCACGAATTTCTGACCGAAGCGAATACAAAACATTCAAACACTTCGTCGAAACTCAAAAACGTCGTCGAACATCCCAGCGGGGTTCAGACCCAGACCCCCGACGTAATGATTTTTTCATTACGTCGATCCCAGAGTTCTCGACCCCTTCCCCAGGACCGGTTTGTGATCCTGAGTCGTTTTTTGACGCTCCCGAGGCCCGGTGAGGGCCCCCAGAGGCCGAAAATGGCGAAAAACCTCCCGTCATGATTTTTTCACTACTCGAGGGGGTCTGGGGAGGCTTCCCTTCGTCGACGTGGCAGGCCCCCAAAGATAGCGAACGGCAAAGAGAGACCCGTTGCCCTTCGCTCGGCGGGCGGGGGCCACGCGTGGCCTCGCCCCGGGGGGGCTCGCCCTCGCCGCGGCCCGCGGGCCGGCGGCGCGCGGCCCGGAGAGACGAGGACGGCGAGGGCCCCTCGGGAGGGGCAGGCTCGGGGCCCAGACCCCCTCGAGCAATGAACAAATCACGACGGGAGGTTTTTCCTAATTTTCGGCCTCCAGGGGCCCTCGCCGGGCCTCGGGAGCGTCAAAAAACGACTCAGGAGGACAAACCGGTCCTGGGGAAGAGGTCGAGAACTCTGGGGTCGACGTAATGAAAAATTCATTACGTCGGGGGT